CCCTACCCCTAACCCCTAAACCCTAAACCCTAGACCCTAGACCCTAAACCCTAGGCCCTAGGCCCTAAACCCTAAACCCTACACTTTTTGGATTCCAACAGCAGTGACCATCCAGGCGAAGTGCCGGGCTTACCGGTGGTCCGCCTCCTGATTCAGAGTCCTCGGGCTTCGTGAATAAGGCCATCTCTGGGTTTAGGGTTTGGGGTTTAGGGTTCAGGGTTTAGGGTTTAGGGTTTAGGGTTCAGGGTTTAGGGTTTAGGGTTTAGGCTTTAGGGTCCTCCTGATTCAGAGTCCTGTGGCTTCGTGAATAAGGCCATCTCTGGGGGGAGTTTTTGGGTAGAGCTTAACGAATGGCGGTTCCCGAAAATAAGGGACCCTGATATAGCACCCTAAAAAGTAGGATCCTTATTATAAGAACCCCAAAATAAGGTACCCCTAATTTTCGGACACTCCCGAATCAAGGGACTTGACAGTCGGTGGTTCCTGGGGGCTAGAGCTGCCCTTTGCATGGGTTGTTCTACTTTTCTGGGCTTGCTTGTGACCTACCTGCTGAGACCCCTGATCCTCTGAGTGGACATGGCCTGGTTTAGGGTTTAGGGTCTAGGGGTTTAGCGGTTTAGGGGTTTAGGGGTTTAGGGGTTTAGGGGTTTAGGGTTTAGGGTTTAGTGTTTAGGGTTTAGGGTTTAGGGTTTAGGTGGAGCCAACCTGCCGACCGAGCTCAGTGACACACCGGCACAAAGATGCTCACACTCTGGCTGGGTTCATGAGTGGATGCGATAAGTAGGGTGGTTCTTCTACTACCAGTCAGGTTATAGTGGGAATGAACAGTGACAAATTGTACCCAGAATGAGTGCCTCGGTGTATGTAGGCATTGCGTTGTCACTGCATAGGGTTATGATCGCATTCATCCCACATAGCCCAGCTCTAGCAAGATCTTGCTTATTCCTGCGACCCCAAACCCTACAAAATAGAAACCCTAAACCCTAAACCCCCAAACCCCTAAACCGCTAAACCCTAAACCCTAAACCAGGTTCTGACCCCTTAACTAGAGGGTCGAACCCATAAAACGGTAGGTTTTGGGATCCCCAGGTTGTGCTTTGTTCATATGCTAGTGCTGAAAAAAAAGCCTAAACCCTAACCCCTAAAC